GTGAAGCCAGCGCACCACGAACATATCGGGAGTATCAGCGACACAGTCTTGTGATCCAATTTCTATGCACCAAGCCCCGCGAGTGGAGCAACAACGAAGGAGCACGCATGCATTTTCCACCTTGCTATCCGATGGGAGAGTGTGAGCCCGACGCGGCGCGACCAATCGGGGGTGGGTAGCGGGGGGGCTACTTTTTGCTTGAGGGCTTTCTTCAGCACCCTGTTGTCTGCTGCTTTGGCGTCTTCGATTTGGGCGTCAAGGCTTTCTATGGTAGCGGTTGAGATGGGTTTGCCCGGTCCGCAGAACTCGCGTCTTGCGGCTGGCATGTCGATGTCCTTGAGGCAGGGTCAGCGTTACGTCTGGAGTTTGGCAAGTCGCGGTCAGATCGATTTTACCTCCATCCCCGTGCACACGACCGCAATCTTCAAGCTCTTCGCCCCCGTCTCCTCCCACTCCAAGGGCACGTGGCGCGAGAGGACCGAGAAGAGAGATGACTTCAGCGAGGCATCCGTGATGGCCCGCGAGATCTTGGCTACGATGAGGATGTGGTGGCACCGGAGCAGATAATCGTGCGTCGCGCGCACCCGGGCGAAGATTGGTGTCCTGCAGGCCTAAATATCCGGTAAGTCAATTTGGATCAAACGAGCATATAACCCCAGACAACGTATTCCTACCAGGTAGATCGGTCAGGACGACGCCCGTCTTGAGCACCTGCGCATTCAGGTAAACGCGGATGACTTTTGTGAACGGCCAGTACCGGTCCTGCATAAAAACGGACGTCTTCTCGACGCATTCCTCCGCGTTCTCCGCAGTAGACCGCCAGAATCCGTCGGCCCCGCCGGGCCACTCAAGCTCGCGCGACCACGCGACCAGTTTCTCCGTGACCCTCTCCAGCGCACCCTCTGACATGTCCTGCAGCATCTCCTCGGTGAAAGCTTGGTGGTGGCCAAATGCGGCCTCCATGGCTGACCAGGCCTGGTCCGACTCTCGCTGGCACCGGGCGTAGTCAGACCCCGAGGGACCCTCAGCCACAATCCTCGGGAGGTACAGCTGACGGTAGTTCCACACTAGCTCGCCGATGACATCCTCGATGGCTTGCGCAGACAGATGCTCGACCTCGATGGTGATGGGCGCGGTGTGCTCGCGGGTTTTCTGCCTGTACTCGGTGACCACGGACGTGCATGCCGAACCAATATCTCCCTGGACTGCGGGTGAGCAGAGCCGGAATGCAACGAGGGCGGACGAGAAGAAGGTGAACACGTACGGTTTTAGCAATCCCGGGGAAGTCCAGCAGGGAATTAATGAGACTGCTCTTCCCTGGTCACGGTCAGCACGACCCCGAGTTCACCTGCTTCATTGCAGACGGGACGTTCTCCGTTTGGGGACATACCTTCACCCGAGTCCCCCAGCACGGCGATCGTCTTCGTATCCGAGCCCTCAAAGGCAGACAGCTGATACGCGTCGTTTAGCAACTTCTTTAAGTCGGGATCACCCGGGAAATGGCCATCCAGCTTCTTCAACTCCCGCAGCGTATCCTTTGCAATCTCCAGCCCCTCCCGGAGCGTCGACTGGAACTGGGCTGTGAAGAACTCATGGGCCGGAGCCACCTCGCTACGGACATCATATGGAGGCGGACTCTCGCCCTCGCCGGAAAGGAGAGAAAGGCTAGAGACGTCGGAGACACGGCTCTGGTGTGGAGGGGGTGCGCGAAGCACGACGGCAGAGCTCTCGGCTGGCTGGGGCGATGGTTCACGAGAAGGCAAGGGCGTCACATTATGGAGAAGGAGCAGGGAAAAGTCGGCGGGTTGTTGCTGGTCAAAGTTGGGAGAGGTCGGCGGCTCAAAGCCATTCTGGGGAGGCTCCGGGGGGTGTTCCGGGTTGTTCTGTTCTTCGGGAGCCTGAGGAAACAAGAGTAGTCCTCGAGCAGAGGGGCAGTGGCGCGGTTGTGGAGGAGATGCGGGGCTCAGACGCCGGCAACGAGCTTCGAAGATCCTCCACTCGGTCAAAAGCGGATGACGGGCTCTCAATCCAGCCGTCGGCGAAGTTGAAGGAGAAAGTTGACAGATCTTCAGAACCAAAGCGCGGGTTGGTTGAACGTGCTCGCATCGCCCTTGGGGTGCGTCTGTCACGGGGAGAAAGGCGTGGCTCAGGGCTAGCTGAGAACTGCCGCGGCATGGAGATATCCAGGGCCATTCTCCCACCATTCGTAACATTGTGGTCTGGGTCACCAGGTCCACAAAAGCGGAAGGTTGGGGTGTGAGGCCTGGAGGAGTCGGACATTATAAGGGTGCGCTGTGCGATGCAGAGTGCTTCTAAGGGGGGCAGAATCATGCGATTTGGTATTCGGGGACCGACGGACGTGGTGTCCTTGGTCAAGCCTTAAAGCATTCCCAGGTTGCCCATCCCGCTACGGCGGCACTGAGTGCCTGACCCGGAGAGTCGGCCTTGCCATGTTCATCTTGAAACTGTTAGCGCGCGGCTGTGCCACTGCCAGACCACACACCACGCGGGGAAACCATGTATGTAGATGGGCAAGGCTGAGCTCGACATCTGAGTCCTTGGAGATACACCGCGCGGTGCTGTCCATCCATACATCCGTCTATCCAGGTTCACAAACGGAGTCATGTTGTTGAGACTTTACTCAAAAGTATTAAACCCTAAGCTTGTTGGAACGTCTTCCAGAAGAAGAAGAAGAGACTCAATCCCTATCCAGGGAATTGGACGCGTGAGGGTTGAGCTGTTTCATGGGTGGCGATGCTTGCTCCAGTGCAACCCATTCATGCAGTATTAATGCAGTTGGTTCGGGCCATCACACCCACGGCCCGGTCCTCAGCGCGGCCTCTGGGCAGCATGTATGGCTGAGGGTCACAGCAACCCGAGGCTCTCGCTTAATGGCCGATATTCCATCCAAACTTGGAGAAAAAGTGATATTTGTAGAAAGATGATGCTGAAGAATGAAGAAGAAAGAAGTTGAATGAAGAATGAAATGTTGCCAGAGGTGAGTGGGCCTGCCAAGCATGACGTCTGGCAGCTGCAGGCGCGAGCTTGCCAGCCGAAATTTCTCAATTCTGAGTAACATCTCTTGTTTCACCTTCTGCAAAGCGAGGCCTCACATACCTAGGTATTTCTCTACACTTTATTTCTCTCGGCCTGTAATTGATGCGCGCCCTCACTGCCTCGTGGCGGCCCCTTCGCACATATGCGACAGACCGGAAGTCTCGACTTGGCCCAGTACTGAGTCTGGATCACGTAAGACAGCTTGCTTTCTCTCGCAGTGGCCAATGCAATAATAAAGCACAATAAAGTACATATTCAACACCCATCTAACACGCCGCCCAGTTCCTTCAACGAAGCCGGGTACTCTCCTTCTACCGGCACATCATCCGGAGCACGCGCCGGATCTCAGACCCCAAAACTCGCGAAGAAACTCGCAAGTTCGCAAGAGACGAGTTTGAGCGGCACCGCGGAGTCACGGATCTTGTCGGTTTCCCAATTCCCCCATACGCATCAGGACCGCTAGTTACTGACTTGAAAAGGGCCATATTCCGGTATCTCTTGTCGACAGGCAAGACCGAGTGGGATAGCATGGAGAGGTACATTGACCGCCTGTGAAACAAGATCCGATCCAACCACCCCGCCGCAGCTGGCGCCTCTGTTTCTGTGACCCGTCTATTCGTGCCGCAACCGCGTGTCCCTGTCCGGCGAGCCGCTCTGCTGAGCAAACAGGCCGCCACCGAATGAGCCGAGTTTAATGCCACATGATTCCTGGTGTATGCATGCCCCCTTCCGCCTTATCGTACAGAACCCGGTTTTCCCTGGCATCAATACAACTCCCGCCTGCAAACCATCGCCCACCATCTATCCTTGCCGCTGCTTGTGCCTCGGGTTCGCCGGGCACACGATGTAGAGGTAGCCGTTGTGCCGCTTGTTTGCCTTCCGCCGGACGACCTGCAAAACCGGGATGAATCCACTCATCAGCCCCAATTCCTCACATGTAACCCTCCCAAACACATTCCCAACTCCCCATTTCAAACCCCCAACCCAGAATTTACCACTCACCTTGCAATGCTCGCACCGCTTCTTGATCGCGCTGCGCACCTTCATCCCGCGCACCTGCTGCGTCGTGACCGCCGCCACCCCACGCTGCACCGCCGCGGCAGGGGCAGCCGCACCGCTAGGAACCGTCGTCATTGTCTTCGTCATCCTGCTGGACACGCCCGTGAGGGCGGCCTGCGAGAGGCAGCGTGTCTGCACCGCGGGGAGGGCGGCCGGCCGGCTCGAGAGGGTGAGGGCGCGCATGGAGGACGTGAGCGTCTTGCTGGCGGCGGCGGTCGTCCGCATGGTTTGTACGAGACTTGTCATGGTGGCGGGGGTTGTGTGTTGACTGTGGTTGGGCTCCTGCGGGCTGGGGTCGCTGGCGTCGCCGTCGTCGGGGACAGGAATTTAAGATGTGCTGGGGTGGGTGGGTCGTGCATGCAGGGTTGTGATGGCTTGGCACGGTCACGTGTGGTGGGGTGAGCTGGAAAGACCCTAACCCTCGTTCTTACAACGACGACGACGGCAGGACGGTCAGCCTGCAAACAAAAGATCGGAGCATGCAAAGCCAAACACCAGGAATATAATATAACGCATCGGAACTCCTTGCCGTGATAGCATGCCCTCGCAATACCGAATTTATCTCCCATAAGGTTGTTTTCAGGTCTATCAAATCACTTATAACACTAAAGAGATCTCAATGTTGAGACCGAGCGCAAATAAAACAACATCACTGGAAGTGCCATCGAAAATCCCACCATAGTACACGCCTTGATGTATATATTTTCTTTGTGATCATCATTCCCTTGGCCTGCGTTTATGCGATACTCTGCAAACGGGCAAGGACCGAGCCACAGAATCAGGAGTACCGCTAGCATGCGGAATACCGCTCTCACTGACCGTTGACGGAAAATATTGACCTAGATTGACGACCCTTTAGGCAACAGCACGTTGACAAAGACCGGAATCCGAGGCCCATCCGGTGGTATAGTGCTGCTGAAGCCGTTTTTACTACCCATTGGGAATGATACAGAGCAGATGTAGGATGCTGATAGTGTCGGTCGTGATGGACTCGGAGTACAAGTGCGACTGCTCATGTCCGATGCAACAGAAGCGGTGATGGAGTACAGAAGCCGGTTTGCGGGAATATTGCCACCATGCCAGAGGGTGACACGGAAGGCAGTGATGACGTACAGGCTGGGAGGTCGTTGGGGGAATCCGGACCTGTTGACACCCACCTAATACCCGTAAATAAAACGGGTACGCCCACCTCTCCACCACCAACTCCCATCTCTCATTGAATCCCAACTTACACCCACCACATTGACATCGAACCACCACTCGACAACAACAACAACAACAACAACAACAACAACAATCTCACACAAACCAGCCCCCATCCACACGCACACCCAACCCAACCCAAACCCCCCAACACCCCCAAAATGCCGCCCCCCCCTCCTCACCCTCGAAGAGCACTTCCCTCTCCACCCCCCTCCCCCCCGGGCCTCGACACCCTCTACACCGCCCCAACTCCAGCACATCCGCCAACATGCTCGCCAAAGCCACCCATCTGCACACCTCTCCGCCTGCACGAACATGGACGCCGGCAACGGCTGCCCTGCAAGTAGTCCAGCCACGCGCCGGGGCCTCTCCGCCCACAGAGGCGGCGACCTGCCGCGCGGCCAACGACAAACTGGCTGAGGCGGTGCGGTCGAGCGTAGGCCGGCTGGCCGGGTTTGCAGTGACGCCGATGGGAGAGCCGCGTGAGGCGGGGAGGGAGCTGCGGCTGGCGGTGCGGGAGCTGGGGTTTGTGGGCGCGTCGGTGGATAATCATT